AACAAAATTAGAATATTAAGAATTAGAATAATTAGGTGTGTTTTTAAGTCAATTAAAATATTTAAATGATTTTTATAAATTTTTCCTACAATTTCACTGAATCTATTTTTCTATTTTTGGTATTACTTAAAACAATCATATTTAACTGACTAAATAAGAAAAAAAGTATTTATGCCCCGTATTGTATATTCTTCAAACAAAAAGCAAACATACGCATTGTTATTAAATATTTTTCCTTTCACATAACTGCAGTAATGGCCTAATTTGTAAAAAAAGATTAACCCACCTTTCTTCAATTGATAAAAATCTACTGAATATATAATGTATGGTGGCAATACAAAAAATATTCTGCTTTTTCTGCCAAAGTTCGTATCCAGAAATACGTTTTATTTGATTTTAAACAGAATAGAAAACAGAAAAAGATTTTAAAGTTAGAAAGTTGTTATGCAGAACGAAATAATATTGGTAAATATCCGTAATATAAATATGGTTGAATTATGGGTAATTAGATTCACATCAAAAGTATGTCTGAATGTATATTCATGGATATTTCCAAACAAATATCTTTAATATGACGAGTTATGTAGACAGATAATAACAATAATGAGAGCTATAAGATAATGTGAAAATAAAATATGTATAATCACGAATATACGTATATATTCGCATAAGGATATATAAATGTAAATAAACATTTATTGGCATAAAAATATATGACAAGTTAAAGCATATTACTTTTCTTTCTCTAAAGTTCTTTCTTCAAATATCTTTCTTTTTTCCAATTACTTTCTTTCATTCAATTTCTTTCTTTTTCTTTTTCTTTCTTTCTTTCTTTCTTTCTTTCTTTTATTAAAGTTCCACATCTAACTCGTAAATACAAGTAATTCAATAAAAAGAAGAAAACGTTTTAAAATATGATAAATAATATAAAATTTAAATTGGCAAAATTATGCAGTGAGGCGATTGTGAGAGAATTAGAAGTCTTACTAGTATTCAATTCTAGCAACATAAGATATGCAGCTGACACAATGTTGATAACAAATTCAGATACAAAACAGGGCTAGTCAGCAACGGCATATATGGCAGTAAATGTTAGACAATCTCATCATAGATGAATATACTTGAAGTAACTGAAATGTGGTTCGGCAGAAGGATACTTATAATAACATGGATCGAACGTTCGAGCAACAATGAAATCTTAGGCAAAATGGAAACAAAAATGACACTTATACTTACAATCAGAAAGTTGAAATTTTTATGGAACATTGTAAGGAAAGTGATCATGGAAAATTTGATAATCATAGAACAGATTGAAGGTAAAAAGGACAGAGTACAATATTGAATAAAATATCTAGCGAGTTTGTGCAAATGATTGACAGAACAGGTTTTATGAGAAATTATCAAAAAGACAATCTTTACTAAGAGCTACAATGGACAGGAAATTGTGGAGAGCCATCATCGAAAATCTCTTGAAGGAACAAGGCACATAGAAGAACATTGTTTTAAATATCCCGTATTATATCATAATTTTAGTTGACATCTGTGTTTGAATAGCACGTTCAAACCTGCATCAGTCTTTGTAGGAGAATGTACCGTCTGATCCATCTGCTCATAGTGTCGCAAGTTCGAACCTTACCGGAGAGCTCATCTTCTTTATTATGTTTTCTCCAGTTTGCAGGAATGGATAGAGGCAATTATCATCTTCAGTCCCCGGAGGGAGTCAATCGTCGTATGTAGTAAGAGCAAAAGAAAGAGATAACCTCCTCCAGGATGATGTGTTGGCAGTGGTTCTCAGGACTTCCGGCATTGTCATATCCGTCCAATTTTTGATATACGATCAGATTTTGTGTTGCCGTCCCCGCTTAACTGCGTCTTTAACAGAGTCTTGCATAAGGGTCTTGCAAAGGCTTTGATGTCTGGTGACGTGGTCAAACCATAACATATTCCGACGCTTAATAGTGACAAGAAGAGATTCCTCTCCGTCCACAAAACGTTTAACCATGTTCTTTACATAGGCATTGATTTTGTGCTCCCAGTAAGAGATGTGAAGTAGTTTTCTCGAGCATTTGTTCTACAACGCTTGGATCCTTTTTTTTCTGGTTCCAAGCGTTCAAATCTTACACACGTATATGAGGATAAATACAACCAGTGATTTGTAGAGATTGAACTTGATATGGAAGCTAATGTCGATCTTCCATATCCTTTCCAGTCTAAAATAAAAACTGTTTACAAATAGGGTGTCGACTCAAATAAGCTTATCCATTCGAAATAACACTTAATATAATGTCGCATTAAAAATAAATCTAGAAATTGCATATGAAAACATAAAGCACTTTATTTTACACATTGAAAACTATATCGAAATACAAATCAACATCCTATATATGTTACCCTATGAAAAATGCCAAAGATAGTGAAAGGAATGGAAATACAAAAAGACTTGGAAAAGGAGAGAGAGAAATAGAGCTGGGGAGAAAAAAGCAAAGGTTAGGGGGTTAGAAAACTACAAAAAAAGGCAAAAGAAGAGAAGGAGATAAAAAAAAAGGATATCGAAAAAAGATATTGAGAAATATGTTAAGTTTATGCTTCAATATATTTTTATGCTATCATCTTTTTATAGTCTTACTATTTTTCCCGGGCCAGCAATCTAGCACTCTGTTTTTGTCAGATGAGAAGAATGTGAGCATCAACTTTCTGATTTTTATTACCATTCGAATAATTAGAGTCTGGGGCGGTGAACTGCTGTCTTCAACTTGTGGTCGGTGACCGACCTCATCTTGAGACAGAGTAGCATTTATAGTTCTTGACTCTGTCTTTTTGGTCGAAAACTTTTCTTCCAAACGTCAACGAACAAATGATAAAATAGCCGACTGACCTAAGGTTATTTTTTGTCCCGTTCTTCATTATCTTGACACCTTGAAATCGGCTCAGCGCAATCAGAATCCACTCGGATCGATATTAATGTTAAGCTATATGCTTACTTTGATCTTGGCGAATTGTAAATTATATAAACGCTTCTTTACTTTATCTCCTATATTTTGCCAATTTAAATTTTATATTATTTATCATATTTTAAAACGTTTTCTTCTTTTTATTGGATTAATTGTATTCACGAGTTAGATTTGGAGCTTTAATAAAGAAAGAAAGAAAGAAATTGAATGAAAGAAAGTAATTGGAAAAAAGAAAGATATTTGAAGAAAGAACTTTAGAGAAAGAAAAGTAATATGCTTTAACTTGTCATATATTTTTATGCCAATAAATGTTTCTTTACATTTATATATCTTTATGCGAATATATACGTATATTCGTGATTATACATATTTTATTTTCACATTATCTTATAGCTCTCATTATTGTTATTTTCTGTCTACATAACTTGTCATATTAAAGATATTTGTTTTGAAATATTCATGGATATACATTCAGACATACTTCTGATGTGCATCTAATTACCCATAATTCAACCATATTTATATGACGGATATTTTACCAATATTATTTCTTTCTGAATAACTTTCTAATTTTGCAATCTTTTTCTGTTTTTTATTTTGTTTGAAAGCAAATAAAATGTATTTCTGGATACGAACTTTGACAGAAAAAGCAGAATATTTTTGTATTGCCACCATACATTATATATTCAGTAGATTTTTATCTATTGAAGAAAGGTGGGTTAATCTTTTTTTACAAATTAGGCCATTACTGCAGTTATGTGAAAGGAAAAATATTTAATAACAATGCGTATGTTTGCTTTTTGTTTGAAGAATATACAATGCGAGGCATAAATACTTTTTTCTTATTTAGTCAGTTAAATATGATTGTTTTAAGTAATACCAAAAATAGAAAAATAGATTCAGTGAAATTGTAGGAAGAATTTATAAAAATCATTTAAATATTTTAATTGACTTAAAAACACACCTAATTATTCTAATTCTTAATATTCTAATTTTGTTTTGAAGAATTTATCCAGTGTTACTGACTGTATATGAACAAAATTAGCACATACCTCTTGCAAAGATAGCGGACTACCGCCATTACTTTTGTTTCATGAAATAATGCAATATTACAGTGTAATACTTCATTGATTTCTGGTTAGTCGTATTTTTCATTTGGAGGCTTGTAATTAAGCATAAACGAAATACTATCCGGCTAACTACAACTTCAAAGAAATTGAATCGTTCTTTTTTTAGAGATTGTAATTGTTTTTAAATAAGATATTTCTTGCCTATAATTATGTCACTAAGTTCACGAAGGAAGAGAATTACCTTGACTTTTGTGTAAAAAATTGAAATATAGATAAAGTAACAAATAAATCGGTTGTAATGAAAGAATATAATTTTTTTTGAGAACCCACTTTTTCTACATAATAAACCAGAGAGAGAAAATGTTACAAGCTACTTCGTCCTGTGAAAATAAATGTAGAGATGCTTTATGAAAATCTTGTCATAGATCAAAAGAACGTAGATTTAAACAGACGCTTTACGAATGCTTTTTCTCAAAACGATTAAAATTTTGGCAATATGAGGTCCAAAATAAGAATATATATATATATATATATATATATATATATATATATATATATATATATATATATATATATATATATATATATATATAAAAAAGGCTTAAACACTAATATTCCATGGTCATAATTTATTCCATTGAATGGTAAATACAATCCAATTCATCAGATCTACAAATTCAAAAAAATTTTATCCTCTTGGAATTTTTTATTAAAAAAAATATTCATGTATGTGTATGCACCTATGTATATATATTTATATATTTTGCATATGTATGTGTATATTTACTACTAATATTATATATATATATATATATATATATATATATATATATATATATATATATATATATATATATATACGTCCATCAAGTTGTTGATCCACTGTTTTTATTTGACATTCTTATTATACAACATTCCTCTTATAATCGATGCTCCTTTACAATCCACCAGTTTTAGTATTCATTCATCGATTAGAGGCTTATGGCCATATCTCGTTCAAATCCTGAAGCCCATACGATCACCGAAGTCAAGCAACGCCGAGCCTGATCAGTGCCTGAATGTATGACCGCTTGGGAATACCAGGTGCTATAAGCTTAGAGGTAAGGATTTAATGGATAATGGCTCAGAATTGTTAACCAGAGAGCCAAGTTCCAATTTCACTTGGGTTAGTTATATTCATTTACGTGCAAATACCTATGGGATTTGTATGAATTCACTTTTTCTCACATCCTCGATCGGTTAATAAGACTTTTATCAGAGAATATTTATTCTCTCAAAAAGAAATTCTTACAATCTAAAAATATTATCTGGTTTTAAACAACCTGCAAAGGGTTGATGAGCTGTAGAAAAGGAATCTATTCGAATATATACCCGTTATTAGATTTGGCATTTAGAAAAGTGTTTAAAAATGAAACAGTATATACAGCTTTTGTTATTGAATAAACAAATCAGATTTTCATCTCAGCAGAGTTACTATCTTTCAGTCTTTTTCAGAGGTTTTGTTTGAGAATCTTTTGCTCTTTGAATTAAGTTTGATTTTTCATTTGTTTGCTTTTCTTTTTGTTTTGTTTTTTCGTTGATAGTTTTTTCAAGAAACGGTTAAAATAAAATAAATGACAATCTGTGAAATTATTAGCAACTTTTATGGGCCTGTTTGCAAGGTCATTCATATTCTTTGAAATTGCTTAAATTGTTTTCTATTTTTCCTCGTTCTCTTCTTGCTCCAAGTTACTTGCATGTTCAGTACTCTGGTCTTCATCAAACGTGTCAGCATTGGATTAAAAATAGCGAGATAGAGCGCCTGTGGCTTTTGCACTATGACAAACGTCACAGGTATTTGAATGACATGTTACGGTCAAGGTCTTATGACATTTCAAAAACATTTGATAGTTTTTAACATTTAGAAATTTCGTCAGATCGCCTGTAAGTTAGCGTTTTTTTTTTATCCATTTCATAATTGTCATGAATGTAATGCTCTTTTTTGTGTCTTGACATTGGTTGGAAATAATGCAATATACAATATACAATATTAATTAATGAACTTATATATAGTTTTTCGAAATGTCTATTTTAGTAAAAAAAAAACATATTTTACAAATAATAATAATAATAATAATCCTATAATAATTGTACTTCTCCCTCCCTTCGTTAGTTATCAGGGTGGTTATGTTCTGCCAAGACATATTAAATGATGATCTATTCAGTTTTGATCACGTGAAAAGTCAAAATACTTATCAGACACACAACTTGAAAGAAAGAAAGAAAGAAAGAGTATGTCTTCCGCTAATACCTCATCAATAATAGACTATTCCGTTTTGATCAATTGAGACAACAAAATACATCAACTTGGATTCCGTAAGAAAATTACAGAAAGAAGGGAAATTAGATAACGTTTATTTCAGTGAAATGGAAAAAGTTGTCAATTTCAACACTTTTCATTTGTACCTCCTTACTTCTTAAAATAATGGCCAACATTCAAATTTATGATCATTACTCCAATATTTTGTTAAAATTGTTAAGCTCAAGATATTTTATTGTCGAAGAACACACAATGTGCTTATTCAATCATTAACTGAAGAATTAAGCTTTATCAGAAATTTCATTTTGAAAAACCGTAAAATTTTAACGTGTTTTTAAGTAATAGTATTAATAGTAACAATCTAAACTTGGAAACTCGCACAGATTTAGATCGGAACAAGTATAAATAATGGAGACATGGTCAAGTTGTTGAAATCATTCAATGGACGTTATCTTGGAGGCGGGCTTTTCTATGAGAAAAGGAATGGTAAAACCATAAACCTGAGGAAGCCTTTGAGTCAGAAACACACTTTTGTGATATTTTTCAATACAAATGAATAAAAAAAATATAGCGCAACAAACAGGACATACTGGGGAAGATAAAATAAAAATAATAGTTAATCATTGATTCAACGCGCGCTTTTAATAAAAGGATAAGGCAAAAGGAAAAAGAAAAAGAAACCAACTACAAGTCGTTGAAGTTTGAACGTGCAATGTTTTGTAAATTAAAGAATGTTACAATCATGCTAGTTGTCACTGGTATGCTTGGGACGGTGAGTGACAGAAAGGAAAGATGGATAAAGAAAAATACCTTTGATTGCCCAATAGAACTATTATAGAAAGGAAGCTTCTTAGGAACATGGTATCTAAGGCTACTGGCTGTGGCCTGCTATAGTCCCAGATATTAAAACTTTATCTGAAAAATATTAAAATAAATTTGCCCAAAATATCAAAACTAATTAAACTGATAATCAAATAAGAAGAAAGCTTTACATGTCCGCTAGCTATCGCGAACATAAACACTGATCATTGGTTTCGGAGCTCTACATTGAAAGAGAAAGATTATTCCTGCCGCTAAACATCTAAACCTGCCCAAATTATTCTACCAGACACAATTTAATGAATGGGACAGATCTGGAAACAGGATTTCAAACAAAAACTGAGGAATCTATTGTCTATCTAATATATTCGTGCGCTACCCTAGTCCCAAATGAATTTTACTATAGATTTAATAAAAGGAAAAAGAATGGTTGAATAGGAATCGATTATAAACTATGTGAAAATTGCAAGAATTTCGTATTTAAATGAAACCACTATTCCAATAATAGGTTTCTAAGGAAAAATCAAAAAACTTGCTGGTACAGACCTTAGGAAAACCACAGGAAACTCATCACTACTTGAGATACAAAAAAATCACCTAAGTCTAACGTACCCAGTTACTCCCTAAGAAAATATTTCTTTACCTCAGGTCTCAGTGAACGACTTACTAAAGCTTTGTGTAAAGCAGTAAATGCGAAAAACTTGTGATAATAATAAACAAATACAATAAGATAACCATCTACATATATACGGATGCATATGAGTAATATTTTCAAAATTGACCACTGAAATATAAAACAGCTAAAGTCCTAAGCATTGACTAATACACAAAAGGAATACAATTACAGCCATAAAGCTGTAATCAGTTGCATTTACTCTTTTCCTTCTCGAATATATATTTTATTCAAATAATGCCGTTCCCCAAAATGCTGAAAATCAATCATATTCAATCGAGAAATGTTGAATGTATAAAACACTGTGTAGCCAAACACTAGATATATAATAACTCAATAGATGACGCTGAGGATGAATGAAGACGCTACGAGGAAAAGTGACTGTGAAAAACGTTGGGAAGGCATTACTTCCGATATAACCCATGTGAATATTTATTTAGAAATTTTTACCAAAACCTCTACTATAAGAAATAGAGTGAATGAAAAATAAGCCAGGCCTGACTTTTAAGAACAATCAGCTGAGAAATCAAATAAAAAGCAGAACTAGCTCAGTAAAATGTGAACTGAAAAACTCGTTTTGGGGCAAATGAAACCATTAGAAATATATACATAAATTTATCTTCCCTGTAAATAAACACGAGCAAAGATACAAAGATTACCAAAAATGGTGAAAATTAAAATTAGAGAAAATTAAAATCAACCTACCAAACATCAATACGCTGAAGTGGTATTGCTTCATTCAATTATAGACATGTATTTGAATGCAACGCATCTATCGAGAATGTAATGCAAATGAAAAGTGAGTAACATAATGAAATTCGAGGTCGTCTTCAAATTACCATCAGTTGATTATTTAGTAACAGCAGTTAATCAAATATTTAGTATAATTCTTATGGAACTCTTCTGTCACATATTGTTAAGCATTGTCTTTCTTCACTTTCTTTAATTAAATCGTGCTCTTCTCTATGTATTACAAAATATTGGAAGATTTACGTCAAACATATTATTATTGTGCTATTTCACCCAAAGCAAGTGGCAGAGAACAGGTCTCTCTCTCTTTCACCTCTCTCTCTCTCTCTCTCTCTCTCTCTCTCTCTCTCTCTCTGTTTCCCTCGGATCCTATTTTCTCCTAGCCATATTGCCAGACCTTTCGTAATTTTTCCTGAGCCTGACGCCCGCATGTTCTCTAATTTCTTTTGTTCTATGATCACGTCAAGATACGTACACAGTGTTTCGTTCCCTTTTAGTTTTAATCTGTGATGTTATTACACACCAAAAATCCGTATCTGGTATATGTATTAAACAATGTCAATGAAAACTCCAAAATCCGCTGGGACTTTCTGTTTTAGTCATGGTCATTTAAACGAATCGTACAGCCTAGATCCATTTTCAGTTTCTCAAGATATACATAAGTCAGATGTTCATGTTATCAAAGCCTGTAAGAAAGAATGCAAGTCAGTAATTTGTTGACATTTTGCAACGTCACTCTCGGGTTATAATAAGAAAATGTTGTCTACTTCATTACTTTCGATTGCAATGACATGGGTGATGATAACTGCTTAAACTCTAAAATTAGGAAAATATAATTTATTTTTCTCATTTTTTTCTCATTTTCTCATAGAACAACATTATATCTCCTTGCCTTTGAAATTAGTACATTTTAGCAAGCGTATGGGTTTGCGTAAAACTTTAATCATACATTAAAGCATTTATATCAAACTCCAAATCGCTTTTCTAAAAAACAAATATATTGAAATTCCCTCCATAAACTAACATGGATTCATTATGCGTTTCCAGGATATATAAATTTGGTTTACACGGAAGAAAGACAAACATCTCTTCAGTTCACACAGAAAATAAAACTTGACAATTATTACAAAATGTCCCCTTACATTCCTTAGATTCCAATAGAATACAAAGGTCCTATGCAATGATCGAGATCCAATGTATCTTATAAAATATACACAAGCTCGAATTGATTCAATTGGAATAAAACAATATACCCAGTCGGTTATATTTTTAAGCAACTAATACAATCAAAATTCGCTACGACAGAACAGAAAAAATAAGCAATGTACTTTTACTTGCCTTCTCATTGAATATGTGCAATGCATGAATTGGCTACAGTAATACAGGAAAATAAACCAAAAGAAACATTACTTTCACTAGATAGATGTATAGGAACCGAAATATCTAATAACAGGAAAAAAAACATTAACAACAATCAACAACTTAATTCCTCTACAAGAAAAGAAAAACAGCAACGCATTACTTTCAACAGAAAACAAACGTATCCCCAAT